CAAAAGTTAAACTACACATGAAGTTCAATTCAATGGTGCCTCTACATAGTGATTTTATCAAGATTCAAAATTTCATACCGTACCAATGTATCAAGCTTTGCTCGGTACAGTACAGTACATCATACCAAGTGGTACACCTATATATATATATATATATATATATATATATATATATATACACACACACACACACACACACACACATACAATATAAAAAAATATTTTAAAAAGGCGTACGTAGCCTCGGCGACATCACCTCCTCTTCTCCTTCTTGCCTCATCTACGACATTCGACAAAAAAGGCGACGAAGATGTCGAAGGTCGTAGACGTCTTCGAGCTTCGGTGAAGAACGTGGTGAAGGCCGCAGACGTCTTCAGCTTTTAGCGAAGAACACGACAAAGAAGGCCATAGAGTCGCAGATGAGGTGATGAAGGAGATCACCTCTTCCGCTGCTCTAGCCACCGCCTCCCTTGATCCCCGCGCATCCAGATACTCCTCTTTACGTCTCTCCTTGTCGTTACCTCTTGGATTGGGATCGTCAAGGGAGGGAGGCACCATATCGAGATCAAGAAAGGGCGTGGAAGTTCGCTCGAAGGTTCTCCCGATTCTCCCTCTTCTTCGAAGACCCTCTCCTTCTTCCTTCTTCGACGCTTCTCCCTCAGCTTCGCTGCAGCCAGGTGGCTATATCGAGCGAACCGCCTGCAGCTCGCCCGGTAGCGAGCGATCCACATATCGGTTCATGGGCGAACCAACCAGGCGATACAATTTGAAATAGCAAACCTTGGATTTTATTTCAACCTCATTTATGCTCATTCACAAGTGGTCCTTTATCACGATTTAATTTGATCCAAGTTCATTTACGACTCCTGCTTGGATCTCTCATTGTGCCCAATAATAAGTCCACTTTGATATTACTTGGGACGATGTGATTCGATCAAATAATTAGCCTGAACCGTTAGTTTAAAATAGTTAATCCTAAATTAATTATTGTAGACTCATTTTAACTATATAAATAGGTTCATTTGACAACAACATCATCTCTTTTTTTAGCCTTTATTTTTCTAGCCTCATGACTGGTTGTTAGCTTCTCTCTGATTCTTTGACTAATTCACTGACTGTCAGCTGGAGTGCAAAGGTTTGGGAGGTAGCTGGTGTCAGATCAAGAGTCATAATTAGGTGCATGGCATCGACCCCAATTTAATCCACTTTGCTATGTTTTGGTTCGCTCTGTAAATGTCTTACTGATTGGTGTGGCCTCTTCTTTCATAATTGCAGCTTCTGGTGTCTCTGCTGCTGTGGATTATTCAGGAATTGCTGCCCACTACTCTTTCAACCTGACTCCCCTCCATTCTAGATTTATAATGTGGAGGAATCAGATGTTTTTGTATAACTCAAACAATGTTTTCTAGCTTTAATTTTTTCAATCTGCTGATCCTTCATCTTTTTGGGAGGCCAAAAGTAATGGACTCATTCTATTTATTTCCAATAGGGTAAAGTAAAATAAAATAAAAAAGAATAGAGATTTCCTGCAAAAGGATATGATACAAAAGCTAATATTATCCATGAAGCTTCTACCCTCATGAACAGACAGTGTTATTGACCACCAGATTATGAAATTATAGGAGAAAATGTGCTAGGCCTAGGAATCAGATGGTGCCAATTCTTGGCAGGCCAATGCCTGTTATATGTACTGCTACTGGTCAAGCAGCTCTTCCAGTAGCACTTCAAAAGAATGAATGGAGTTTGTTCAAGATGTAGAAGATGGGAAATCCTAGGGTAGTTGTGCCTATCTATTTGTATAGATAATACATGAACTTGTGGTATTTATTTATGTTATATAAGATTGTAAATACTGGTTCTGATATTAGTTTTGGTAACCCATGAGATCTGTATGATACCAATTTCTATCTACTTGTAGATATAAAACATGAATGTTTAGCATATGCATAATACCAATTAAGTATCGGGCTACAAATTGAACATAGATGGTGCCTTTATAACATATTTACTTTGATGGATTCAATGCAACACAATAATAATAGTTATAAAATGGCCATTCAACAAACAATTGAAGACATTCTCTATTTTGGTCGTTAATTATCTATAACACAATGAACCAGTTCAATATCTAAGCCTATACGATCAACATAATGCATCTAAATTCATCTTGCATCCCCAGCAGAGTATGTCAAACTCACTGTCACAACAGGCTTACTTGCCACTCCAGAAAAACTGATGCTACCTTATCAAGGTCATAATTTTAACATATAATAATGTTTGCAGAAAAAACTCCTAAAGTACTTGACTATACTATATATGATACCGGCAGACAATAATGAACACATGTCAACCTCTAGTGATTTATGACCCAAATTCCATACTGTCTTAAGGAAAGAATTATGAAAGATGTTGCTCAAAGAAACGAGAATGACTATAGCATGAAAGTCAGCAGATGAAATTGGGGGGTGGTGACAAGTCGCTTATTAGGAGCCATAGTATTCAAATGTGCGACTAAAAGCCAAAATCATGACAAGTCATCATTTGTGAGAAATTACTAAACACAAATCATATACTCATCAATTCTAACCATTGTATTCAAAAGAAACAAAGTTCAACATGATAAAGACTGATGTATCTTCTAGCCAGTCCCAAAACAAGATAACAGTTCATGGCATATCAGTGCCTACATGAAATGGCATTTAAGCTGAGAAGGCTCACTTGGGATTCCTGAGTACAATGATGACTGAATCCCCTCGAATGAACATTTTACTGATGAATCGATCCTTGTTGACTGGAAGTGCTTTCTTCTTTCCCTTGCCTGTCTTGGGTATCTGCAGCGACAAAAAAAGTTTATTAGATATGGTCAGAAGATATGAATGATGAAAATATGTAGTAAAGTTACCTCAGTCCACATTTCCCTAACATTTTCAAGGACCATGTTACAGTGACGATCAAAAGCTCTCACGCGGCCAAGTAGCTTCTTGTTGTTCCTGCAATTGATAAGCACCTGTTGTAGCATAAGTGTCAGTACAATTCTCAAATTTGCTTAATTCCAA